AACTAACCGCTAATTACTAATAATTGACTTTATTTTGTGTTTTTATTTTATGCTCTTTTATTTTATGCACCATTTACTTTAACATTTATATTTCATGCTATTTTTCATCTTTGCTCACTTGAGCATTTACTTTCTTGTCATTTTTATTTTGCTCACTTGAGCTTTTCTTTTTTGAAGACACCTAATAATCAATATGAACCATAAAAAACTTTAATTATACTTGTACTATTTGGTTACTATCCTTGGCATTTTGGAGTATTGGATTTCTTAGACTTAGAAATAGAAACCTTGGCCTATGTTGGAGACCTTGTGACCTTAATTGATATTTTGTCTGGAGTTCTTGAGGTTTACCTCAAGACATTGGGTTGTTTGTTTGTTTTGTGTGCATGTTATTGTGATTACATGCTTTGTTTGTAATCTGGAATTCACCCGTATACAACCGTTACTCTGTCCAATTTTTGTGAAGACTTAATACATTTAAAGTTTAGTTCTCTCAAGAGGTCTAGTATCTTTGCTTGCTTGGTTTCAATCCAAATAATGAGAATTCCATCTTGACTCATAATATCAAGTACTGGCTTCTTGTTGGTTAGATGGTTCTTATCCCTAGCTTTTACCTTATGCTTTAGGATAGTCTCTTCTTCTCCTCCCATCTTCTTTAATTTTAAAAATCTTCTCCCTCCTTTTGAAAAAATTTCTTATTTCTAAACTTGAACCACTTTCATAATAAACTTGGACTTAGGTCCATGCATTTTCAAAACATTTTCATGAATAAACTCTAATCAATTTAATAATACCTTGACATTTTTTATGAGAAGACTAAAAGTCAATCAATCTCATTTCAAACCATTTTGCCACTTTGGCTTTTTATTTTAAAACTTTTCTCAAAAGATTAGACTCTTGTCAATCCTTGTAGCGATGCAAACAACTATATTTCTACAATATGTAGTAAAGAGAGATATTTTCCACTTGGATGTTGAGTGGGGCTTTGTTGATTTTAAAATCCAAGTCATATCCTCCACTTTGAGATGATGCAAATTCTCCTTCCTCATAATTGTGGGTAGTAAGTATATTTTCCACACGGACAATGACGATGATGTCTTATCTCATAAAATCAACCAACACATTTGTGTTTTAAAAAATTTTAAAAGAGGAACTACGTGTACCCTGATCCCCTATTGCACGAAATGTGGTACGTAGGCACTAAAGATTCGCAACTGCGGCAGGTGCAAAAATCATGAAAAATATTTCTTTTCTCACCTCCACAATCTATTTTACATACAACATTTTATAGCCAAAATATACAGATTTTTCAAAGAGGTTTTTGTGGAGTATCGTAGATGTTTAGGGTGCTAATACCTTCCCTTTGCATAGCCAACCCCCTTACCTTGAATCTTTCCCCCTCTTGTTGGGTTACTCGCTCTTTTCCCATTCCTTTGGAAACAATAAAGCGCGGTGACGGTTTTTATTTTGATCTGTATAAGTCTAGTCAATCCAATGGCTTAGTCTTAAACATTTCTACCGCTACACATGAGACTCCTCGTATTTGAGATAGTCTAACTCAAGTTGTAGTCGTCTCCAATTATCCTTCATCACTTCCTACTGGGAACATGAAATGCAATAATGAAACAACATGCAAATCAGACAGTAAATCAACATGCAAAATTGATATAACCCTAAGTCATGGCTGATTGAAATGACAACACAACTGGAAAAACATAAGTTTATCAGCAACAACAAAGTAGAAGAAAATATTTTTTGTAAATCAACATGGGAACACTTAAACTTATGAACCGCTGAAATCCCTAGCAAGCAAGTAGGAAATCTACATAAATGCTTATACGAAACATCAATCCATTTGGTATAACACACATAACTTCATATAATAGTAGCAGTTTCAATGAACTTTTTACCTGATGAAAGGCCCTTATTGTTTGTTCTTTGCCATTCTTGAAGTGAAAAAACCGCAAATATACGGTATAACACATGTATTTTATATCTTTATTAGTTCCACAAATGATACAAATATTTCTATAATTGTAAAACACTGTCTTCATAACGCAAATATTTGTATAAACAACTTTTTATATATTTAAAAAAAATATTCGTACTCGATCAATATTAGTGCGGACGCACGAGTATCCCACTAGTTTAATTTAAAATCTAAACCTGACTAGTTGTGTAATTAATGTAGAAACATGATCATTTACGTATTTTATTTAAAAATATTGGTTATTGTTGGAAAAGTTTCTCAGGATTTTAAGTGGGATGGATTCCGTCTTATTCTAGAATATTCTTTAGGACGTGATTCACGTGGTTTACACGCTAAGTCGCTAACAATTGCCAGCTTCCTCTATCCATGTCTTACTTGTAGCTAGGGGTGGGAATATGTCAGATCGACCTACAGGGGTTTATAGTCTAGCTTACTTAAAGCCATACCAGACCATGTTTATTAAAAAAAACCTATGAAGCCTTATAGATCGATGTATATATTTTCACACACACACACACACACACACACACACACACACACACATACACACACACACACACACACACACACACACACACACACACACACACACACACACACACACACACACACACACACACACACACACACACACACACACACACACACACACACACACACACACACACACACACACACACATATATATATATATATATATATATATATATATATATGTTAAAAGTATGCTAAATAGACCGACTTATATATAGAGGTGGCAAAACGGGTCGCCCGCCTTGCCCCGTCCGCCCCATCCTGTCTTAAGCCCGCTAAAAAAATAGCGGAACTGACAAGCTCGCCAAGTAGAAATGGACATAAAAATTTAGCTCGCCCTGTCAAGGTGACAGATTGGCGGGCGGCGGGCTTGCCCGTTTATAATTTTATTTATTTATTTTTCATTTTTTTAATATATTAAAAGATTTTTTTTACATTTCAATTAGATTTTTCACTTATTTTTTAGAACAATTTTTTATAAAACATCTTTTTAACAAAATTTTCTTTAAAAAATATTACATATATTTACAAATAAGTGTATAAAATAAAACCATGAAGAATTAAACTTAATAGAATTAACTAAAAAATAGTGGACTTAAAGTGAGACAAGCTGAACGAATAGACGCGACAAGCTCTGGCGGCGTCGGTCTTTAGCGGGGCAGACTTTAGTAGACGTAAGATCTAAAATCCCAACGCAGTCCGCCATTTTTTGGGGGGTGCCTAGTCGGTCCGACGGGCTATAACCCATTTTACCATCCCTACTTATATATTAGAAAAAAAAAGGCTAAATAGACGGTTGTTTATATGTATATATTAGAATAAATGCTAAATAGGTCGACCTATATATGCATATATAAGTCAACTTATTAGGCCTCTTAATTAATATAAATTAATTAAAAACTTTAATGGAAACCATACTTTTAAATAGACTTTTAGATCAGATTGTACTTTTAAAAAAAAACAAGACCAACAAAAAGAAAAGAGCCTATAATATATCATAGATTAGACTCGTGCCTTTTAAGTTTAGCGTAGAACAAACTCAATAAATAGTTATGAATGTATTTTACTTAAATGCCCTTAAAAATTGTTTTAAACGTGACCTATAAACGTTAGTTCCCCTACTTTTAAAGGTGCCGCACCAAGCGTTACACGTCAACACAAGTTATCCCAGCCGTTCGATTCCCGAAAATCAATTATAAAAGAAAGATTGGGAACTCATTCCATTCCATTCCATTCAACTGATTTTAGGGTTTCGTCCTCTTTTCGTACCTCGCTTTTCTTTCAATTTCCGATATTGTCCTTAATCTATCTCCGTCAAACTTCGACCGGCACCGGAATTACATATATATGACGGAGCTGATAATGGTTTCGTTCAGGTACGATCTCTTTTGGATCGAATTTTGTTTTGTTTCTTGTGGTTTTTCTGATCGTTAATTGTTATTGATTGATTCCGTTTTCTCTTTTCATATTGATCTGATTCTCCATCCGTTAGATCCACCGTGCAGAAGCGCGATCTTCACGCTCTTCTCGGTTTCTGGAATTTTTCATTGAGAAGTCTTTGATTCTTTTGTAAATCAAGGTTCTTGAGGTCTTTTCGCAGGTATGGAGGCCGATCGTGAAGCCTATCGGAGACCGACCTATAAAATCGCGCTTCCAGTTTATAATTACGGATCATTCAGCTCTAGAACTGTAGGCGCTGTATGAGCTTTGATACATCATTTATAGATGTTGCAGATCTTGAATGTTTTAATTATGTATATGATTGAGAGCTTTGAGGGAGAGGTAGAATGGATGTAGGATGTATCTGGATTATATTCCTCGATGCGCTCTTGTCATCCGACCTTTGCCATGTCAGGTGCGCTTGCTTGGCAGGTCAAAAAAATAAAATAAAAAATTTGTTTTGGTTTTTGGGAGAGATCGCACGGGTATTTTGCCTGGGTTCTCTCCCTCGTGTGGTGTTTGTTTCTCTCTCTTTTTTTTCTTCTCATGCTTCTTTATCATTACGAAACTAGCTCCACTCTCCATAATTCGTTCAAGAAATTCTTCGACTCCATATCAAGGTATTATTCATCAATTTTCAATGTTTAAATAACAATTTAAATTAACTTAATTTAGATATGAATTTCAAATTCAGGTTGAGCTGTTATGAATTTCAATTTTAATTAATTTCTGATAAAATCAATTTCAGAGTCGTCAATTCGGAATTAACATTTATGTTTTAATTAATAATATCAATCCAAATACAGTATTATGTGTTGAATTAGAATATTTACATGGATGGTAATATGCATCAAATGGTGTTGAATTAGAATAAATTGGAGTTTACATATATAGGATAAGTTGGTGTTGAAATTTGTTATGTCTTGGTTAGTTTATACAATTTCAGTCTAAATTGGAGTCGATAACATTCTAATCTGATGTACATATTTGTATAGCTTCAGTCTAAATTGGAGTTGATAACACTTTAATCTGATGTATGTATTTGTATAGTAGAGATGTATCAATAGTTTGTTCAGCGAATTATGGCCATCCCCTGCAATCTTCAAGCTTCTGTTTATGGCTATCGCCTATGTTTAGCAATGTGATCCTCCTTTTCATAACGTCACCAAATAAACACGTCAACACAAGTAATCTCAACCATTCGTTTCCCATTAATCAATTATTGAAGAAATTTTGGGAAGAAATATGAAGATTTACATGCTGTTTATGGTTTCGTTCAGGTAAAGACATCTTTTGGGTTGAATTTTATTTCTTTTGGATTGAATTTTATTTTTGTATCTTGCAGGTTTTCTTTATAGTTAATTGTTATTGATTGATTATGTTTTCACTTTTTATATAGATCTGATACCCCATCTGGTCAGATCCACAGTGCAGAGGATCTTCATAGAGAACTAGTTGATTCTTTTGTAAATCTAGGCTCTCCAGGTTTTCTTCCAGGTAAGTAGGCTGATCACATAAGCATATCAGAAGCATAATGGTGCTGCCAGTTTATAAGTACGGTTGATTCAGCTCTTGAACTGTAGGCGCTCTATGGTGTTTGATACTTCATACAAAGATGTTGCAGATCTTTGATAGTATTTTATTAATGTATATGATTGATATCTTTGCTGGAGGGATAGAATGGATGTAGGATGTATCAGGATTATAGGCCTCAATGCGCTGAGAATTATATTCTGACTTATCTGGTCATCCGACCTTTGCCATTTCAGGTGCGCTTGCTTGGCAGGTCAACAAAATAAAATAAAAAAAGATTGGTTGGTTTTTGGGAGAGATTGCATGGGGATTTTGCCCGGGTTCTCTCCCTCGAGGTGTTTGTCTTTCTCTTTTTTTCATGTTTCTTTATTATTATTTTACGCTCTCAGCTCTCCATAGCACTGTGCATAATAATCGTTGAAGAAATTCTCCGAAATTCTCGAACTCCATCTCAAGGTATTATTCATCAATTTTCAGTGGTAATTTGGTAAATAACAATTTAAATTAATTTATTTTGATATTAATTTAAATATCAATAACAATTGAAGTATTGATTTTAGTTATTTTTGTTTGATTGGTTATGAATTTCATTCTCACTTTTAATTAATTCTGTTAATCAAAATTAATATATCATCAGTTTTCCTATTGTTTCAACTTCTGTTGGATGTTTAATAACTTGAGTTTTATTGTACAATTCATCAATAATATACCAATCGAGATTACAGTATTTTGTTTAATTAAATAGATTAAATAGATATGCACCAAATCTGAAACGAATCCTAAACAGTAGTGTTTTGAATTGGGATAGTTACATCAAAATTGATGTAGTATAGATATAAAGTTCTTTACATTTCTCTTAGTTTACATATTTGTTATTCCAAATGTAAAGTATAGATAGGCTTGTAGTCTCTGTCAGCATAGATTTATATATTAGACGTTCATTGGCTAATTACCATTTACCGATACCAACATAGGGACTGTAATTGCATGACTAGAACAACAACCATGGAATGAAGCATTTACCAATGCTTTGGAGTCAGGAAGCTTCCTTTTAAGGGCCATCCTCAATCTTCTCAAGGTGAAGATGACTAAAGTTCTCTCACCTATATTAAGTTTCCTGGTTTTCATAATATTTAGTTAATGCAATTTTATGTTTTCAATTTCTAATTCTACATATGATAGTATTATAGTGAGTATTCAACTTAAATAGTTAGTCTGAGAACTTCAAAATGATAAGTATGTTTGAAGTTATATTTATGCATTACTGTATAACAAGTATGCACATCTGGCTAGTGACGTGAGAATTATTATTTAAAATTTAGCTTTTTTAATTATTCTTCAATTATAATTACCCAGCGGTTATTTTGTTTTTTTAAATCTGAAGTGAACGTGGATGCCAAAGATTCATATAGACAGCATTTGTTATGTCTGGGATTTGTATCTCTTGAAGTATTTTATTTCAAAAATGAACTTGTTTTTATGTAGGACAATTTTTCTTTTTTATTATGTGAAGGATCTTTTTTTACTAACAAGATTTTTAAGTAAATGGTCTTTGCAATTTCACTCACACTTTTACACTGCAAATTGTTTTAATATGAATGTTTTCAGTTGTTCATTTTTATTGATCTTAATATCCTTGTCCTCTATAAAATGATGACTATGATCTTTTTAAATAAAACACTAGAGTTTTTCAAAAATTTAAAATTTATCAAAGTACAAATGTGTCTTTTGTGTGGAAGTTTTTTTTAATCAAAATTTGATATATTTGTGTTTTTTACATGAGTATGTTGTTCTTGTTCTATCTACATTTGTATCAACATTCTGTTAGTTACATGAGTCCGACACTTGTTCTATTTGTTATATTAGATTTTGTTCTCCTCAAGTACAAGTAACTTTCGAAAATCTGAATGTCATATTATTCGAATAATCAAACATCAATCTTGCAGTGAAAAGGACGTGAGAACAATGAGGAGTAGCAATAATTGCATTGCCCCAATTCCATTATCATATGCATTAACAACTCCATCAAATATCAAATCTCACCTGGTCTTGCCTCTGTTTCTTCTTTAGGGAATGACTCATCACAATCCTTAGCTTGAAGATATACAACATCCTCATCAGGGAAGAAAACCAGATGTAGTAATAATCTTTAATTGGCTGGTGATACAAATGATCTGCTAGCTCACTTCTTAAAACCAACAATTTATTACTACTTTTTCACCAATATACTTGTATTTATTACTCACTTTATTCAATTACTACTTTATTAACTATAATTATTTAGGATATATTAGTAAATAATATTATTTTTATCATCAAAACCAACACTTTTAATCATTTTCTTTAGAATCTCACATTATTCAAATATGAAACTTTTATGAGATGGAGGGAGTATAAGATTATCTAATCATTTTATTAAAAATTGCATATTATTCAAATAGACATTTTTTATAAGACGGAGGAAATATTAGATTTAAGATTAAAATTTGACTGCAATACTTTGTTTTTGAGAGAGTGTTCTGCATTTTTTTTATTAAACTTGTTCTTTTACAATTACCATTTGTCTAACATTTATACCTGTAGATGCTTCAAATGGATTTTCTAGTTAATCAAAGGTGCACGCCTATTTGGTTTTGAGGTGAGATTGACGGAAAAATGGTGAGTGACTGCAGTGAGAATTTCAGGTCAGAATGTGACTGCAGTGTTCTGATTTCTTGCTTTGCCACCCTTGCTTCTTGCTTCCAGAACTGGGAATAAGGATGGCCCTACTCTATTACCCGGTATGAACTTTGGAGTGAGACAGTATTTTGGAGTTTTGGCTTCCGATAACTTATCATTTTGTTGATATCTTCAATGCCTTAAAAACTCAGTGTGCTTTTTCTCAGTAATTTGTCAATTGACCTGCAGGTTTAAAACAACTTGATAAGTATTTAATTGGTTTTAGGGGATGAGAAATTTTTGAAATGTTGAATTATCCATAATGGTCCGAGGTTTACCTTTTAATTAATGAACAACAATCCTTGAATGTTTTCATATCTCATAATTTCTTTTGGTGTAAAATAATGGAATCTCTGAGATTTGCAATTTGTTTGTGTTCATTTGTAATTTGTTTTTCTAAAACTTATTTTAGAGGAACAATAGGGAACCTAAAGAAGCACAAACCGCGGGTAGATTTTCTTTCAAGAAGCCGCTTAGAATTTCAAAGAGAGAATTTTGTTTATTTTTGGAGAATTACAACACAGTTTTTTTTTCCATAAATCACAACTTGCTTTGCCATATATATCAAATCTTATCAATTAGGTGAGAAAGTTTGATTGAATAACCCTTGCTTTTTCATAAACATAGAACTCACTATGCTTTTCTAAAACTTCATATCAAATCTTACACTCGTATGAGAAGAAATGAAAGCACTTTTATATGGACTAAAAGAGGAATAATTAGATGGCATTGCTATTTGTTTTCTTATGCTTGTTTGCTATGATATCTCTCGATTATTGTTTATCAAAATATTGTGGATTGATAAACACTTATGGTATAATTCAAGTCATTTGAATGGTTATATGTTAGTATGTGATGATATTGTATTTATGTCTGGGATTTGATGGCTAAGAATAAAATGAACAAGTATGAATGTAGGTGTGAATGAATGAATGTCTGACCCTCTCGAAAGAGAGAGTACTTATAGCTTTCAGCGTTGGGTCAAGGTCTCTTTATTGGGTTGATCAAACATGTCCAACAAAGAGACTTCTACGTGAGTAGTGGAGACCTGCACGTGACCCCCTACCTGGATGACGCCATCCGCAAGACAGGGAGGATAAAGACGCGATCTTTTCGGGATCATGAAGACTACGTGAAATCCTGAGAGGTTGAAAGTCAGCCCTACGAGAAGGGTGTTCGGAGGGAGCGCGTGTTTGTCAGGGACATTCTTCGCGAGCACCAGCGGGAAGCAATCATAGTCGATTAGATACTTATAATCGCGGTGTGCTCGGTGGGTATACTGCTCAGCGCAGTAGGTTGGCAAGCTTGGATTGGGCCTCACTGGTGGTTGGGTCAAGGGCATGCCCAATCCAAAACAGGAGCCCCCAAGTCGTTGTTTCTGGTATGAGAGTTATGACTTGTTTCAAGTTCGTTCCTTCACGAGACTCGCTTGTGCGACACAGGGGTTTTCAATCGTGGACGTGAGACATCGCCCAGTTCGTGATTTGCTCCGTGCAGCGGTCGAGGAGTGTAGCACTCGCGGGGAGGTGGTGATACACTAGTAAGACACGTGGTGTGGCTCTTGGAAACCACAATGGCGGCCTAGGGAGTAGGGCCATCATTGTCTATGCGAGTAGGCGTCGAGGATGAAGGCGGTTTGTGATTCCCCGATGTAACGTTTCATATTTCACGTCATCTATATAAATAGGGCATCAGGGCCCATAATGAGAGACACTCTGATGGTAAAATGAGAGATAAAATGAACAAGTATGAATGTAGGTGTGAATGAATGAATGTCTGACCCTCTCGAAAGAGAGAGTACTTATAGCTTTCAGCGTTGGGTCAAGGTCTCTTTATTGGATTGCTCAAACATGCCCAACAAAGAGACTGCCAGGTTCTACGTGAGTAGTGGAGACCTGCACGTGGCCTCCTACCTGGATGACGCCCTCCGCAAGATAGGGAGGATAAAGACGCGATCTTTTCGAGATCATGAAGACTCCGTGAAATCCTGAGAGGTTGAAAGTCAGCCCTACGAGAAGGATGTTCGGAGGGAGCGCGTGTTTGTCAGGGACATTCTTCACGAGCACCAGTGGGAAGCAATCATAGTCGATCAGATATTTATAATCGGAGTGTGCTCGGTGGGTATACTGCTCAGCGCAATAGGTTGGCAAATTTGGATCGGGCCTCACTAGTGGTTGGGCCAAGGGCATGTCTAATCCAGAACAGGAGCCTCCAAGTCGTTGCTTCTGGTATGAGAGTTATGACTTGATTCAAGTTCGTTCCTTCACGAGACTCGCTTGTGTGACACAAGGGTTTTCAATCGTGGACGTGAGCCATCGTTCGGTTCGTGATTTGCTCCGTGCAGCGGTCGAGGAATGTAGCACTCGCGGGGAGGTGGTGATACACTAGTAAGACACGTGGTGTGGCTCTTGGAAACCACAATGGCGGTCTAGGGAGTAGGGCCATCATTGCCTATGCGAGTAGGCGTTGAGGATGAAGGCGGTTTGTGATTCTCCGATGCGACGTTTCATATTTTACGTCATCTATATAAATAGGGCATCAGGTCCCATAACTTGTTTTCACATTTTCACGTTCTCATATTTTCTCTGCCTTTAACACCGCGTGTTTTCCTAGTGTCGTGGAGACCGCCGCACTGTCTACTGTGTGTTCATCTCCACAACCGTCGCTCCTCACTCTTCTTCCAAGTAAGTGTTCTTTTTATTTGATATCTCATGTTGTAGATAAATTTTGATGGTGTTTAGTGGTAAAATTTTATGTCTGGGGATTGTGCCCGAGAAATTCAAGCACTCTAGGCGTATGATTCATGATCACGTCCGCGACATTCATAGGTTTAGGCATATGGTTTACGATCGTGTCCGTGATATTCATGCGTTTGGCTAATAGATTTACGAACTTGGTTGGGGGATTCATCCTTTCGTTAGTATGTAGGCTAGTTTTACCCGTGGTATTCTTGTATCTGGCTTGCAATGTTATGAACTTGGTCGTGGGATTCATCTTTTGCTCACGATATTCATGCTATGCTTGTGACATTTATGATTGATATACGTCTGCCGTTAAGGTCGGTGTTTGGTCGAGGTCCACGTGTTCCCCGTCTTTCGTACGAATGACCTTGACTCGGTCTGAGTGTTGCTTACTTCTCCTCGTCTGTATGGTGGAAAAGCGGATTTGCTGTTGAATTCACCGGTTTTCTGTACTTTGTAGGTACATGGTTGATATTTCTGAGTTCTCGGAGCGTAATGATATCGAGGAAACAAGCACTGTCGACGAAAGCATAAATCTGGTCGACACCGTTGACGACCCTACTCTGGACTGAGTTGGTGCGGAACCCCAGGGAATAACTTCGATCTATAGTTATATCGGTAGACAAGTTTACACTGTCGTCGAGTATGGCGGCGGTCAGAAGGGATTTTAGAGAAACTTTAAGATCATGAGGTCGACGAGGGATGCCCGCATCTGCTCGGAGTTTACACAAGACATCTTTCCCATGTACGAGATCGTATTTAAAGATCTCGGGCTCCGGTTACCTTTCAACGACTTCCAGGTGGGAGTGTTCAATCACTTGAACTCGGCCCCCTCCCAGATTCATCCTAACATGATTGCCTTTATCCGGGCAATGATTCCCCTGTTCTTCAGGGTTTTTCACCTGCAACGACAGTCCCGAGGAGGGAAGCACAGCTGGGTGTCCCTTAAGCAGTCGAAGAGATTGTTTAGGATGTATATGGATTCTGTGCGAAATTTTAAAGATAAGTGGTATATTTTACAATCGTCTACCCAGACAGTCGTGGATTCGCTGTTCGAATCGGCCGCTGTGATGGGCGAGGATGGGGATCTGTGTTTGGATGTTGAGGGTAATTTTGAGATTGGGAAAGTCTCAAAGTTTCTCATCCACTGGTGTTCGGGCCAATACGATCATGGACCTGGATACTACCACATTCCTGCTGGCGGTATGAGCGCTGAGGACGAGGAAGCTTATGGCGTCCTGAATAAATTTGTTGATGGTTTCTTCCCTGATCGGTGGATTACGAGGGAAGGGGACGACGTTCTTGATAAGGATGGCGACTCGATGTTCGAGGTCCGTTCGATCAATATCAAGGCGCTCGTCGAATGTCAGTCTTACGGGCAGGCTGTAGAGCTCTTAGGTTTCTTGCTTTGCTCTATTGATATTCCTCTTTATTTGTTTTCTTTAATGTGGCTCTTAGGTTTCTTGCTTTGCTCTATTGATATTCCTCTTTATTTGTTTTCTTTAATGTGGCTAACCCAAGTACACTTCCTTTGCAGGTCACATGGCGGAGCATCGCGAGAGGTTGCTGAAGATGACTCAAGACAAGAAGATCAGCAAGAGGTTGGTGAAGCCGTAACAAGCCACGCAAATGGGTCTGACCCCTGAGTCAGGCAGGGAAGGATCTAGTGGGTCCTCGGGTTTCCCGGATATCGAGCGCCAATCTGCTTTGATTAGCAAGAAACGAAGTCGACCAGATGATGGGGTCGAAGTGACCGATGGAGGGGCGGGTGCCCGGGCCTTCAGCCTGCCACCCTGTTTTGTGGAAAAGATTTTTTTGAGGGGTTTCCCTTGTCCGTATTTGACAACGAGGCCGATATCATCAGGCGGTGCGACAAGGAAGGTCGGAGGAAACACCTCGCCGCCGACATGATCGGGGTGGTAAAAATGGTCGAGATGGCAGTTGTCCTTGCGAGCGAAGGGTCAGACTCCTTGGATCGGGTCAAGGAGCTGGAGTCGGAGAAGGCAACTCTTGTGGCCAAATCCTGTAAACTGAAGGCTGCTCTTGAACGCTCTGAAGAGATGTTTCGTGAGCAGTTCGACGTGTTGTCGGGGGAGAAGGAGAGAGCCGACAAAGCTCTTGAGGAAAAAGACTGCCTCCAGCTTGATAAGGAGCGGTTGGACAATGACAACCAACAACTGTCGAGGGAGGTCGAAGACCTGAAGGCTATTCTGCTGCCCGCGGAGGACGAGCCTGAAGGGATGGCTGACTTACGCACGCATTCTAACTTCATCGCTCGCATTCAACTTCTGGAGTCAGACTGTGTTGGCGCTTTGGCCGATGGCTTTGAGTTTGCAGTGAATCAACTGTCCGTGTTAAATTCAGGGTTGAATATCGAAGGGACTAGGGTTCTATCCCAGGTTGTCGATGGCCGGGTTGTGCCCCCTCTTGACTCTCCTGACGTCGACGTTGGTACTCCAGGGAGTGATTGATGCTTTTATTCATGTTTGGGCCTGCGCACCCATTGTTGTTTTTTGGGGCCTGTGTGTTTGCCTTCATTCTTTTAGTTATTTGGTCGTCGTGCCTGGATTGTAATTTTGGATAACGTCGGACCTTGTGGTCGGTATATTATTGATCTTTGTTTATGAATGCCTATTCGATGAATGCTTTGTTTACAGTTATCTGATAATATTTGATGTACATGCCCGACCGTTATCTTGGTTATGAATTTTTGACGAAGTTTGTGTTCGTATGGAGATATTCGTTCAATCCCTATGTCAGTTCGACGCATTTTGAAATGTGTCGAATGCGCGGAGTGGAAATCTGCGTGTCGGGCGTATGATCGCGATTGGGATCCTACGCTCGTGGCGTGAACTGTCCATCGCGAGCTGGGTGTTCTGCCATGTGGGGTACTTCGACAGTGGAGCTCGGTCGAGGTGTCCCTGCCGGGCATGTACGTTTGGTTCGTCGAAGCGAACGACAATATGCCTTCGTTGGTTGGTAGGTCGGGCCCGTACCTTGACTCGTCTACGTGGTCGAGCTTTTCCCTTTGTCGACTGAAGGTGGATATTTGACGACGAAAGTCCTCCAGCAAGTGAGGGCTTTAACTATAATATTGTTTTAGCTTCGCAATGTTCCAAGATCTTGGTAACGATTCTCCATTTAATTGTTCAAGATAATACACTCCGATGCCCGTAGCTCCTTGGACGCGATAAGGTCCCTCCTAGTTTGCGGCCAAATTTCCTTCGCGGAAATCTTTCTGGTTCCTCCGCAAGACTAGGCTGTCGACCTAAAATTCACGTCTTATGACTTTGCTGTCGTGTTGTAGGGCTACCTGCTGTTTCAGAGTGGCCTCGCGTAGGGCTGCTCCTGATCGAATTTTTTTGACAAGGTCGAGCTCATCTCTCAGAGTCTTGTCGTTCATCTCCTCGTTGAGAGGCATATTAGTTCGCCTAGATGGCTCCATGATCTCTATTGGGATGACTGTCTCGATGCCGTAGGTCAGTCGGAATGGGGTCTCACCCATCGTCGAATGGGGCGTCGTGCGGTAAGCCCATAGATTGCTATGTAGTTCTTCAATCCATCCCCTCTTTGCTTCGCCTAACCCGCGCTTGAGTCCTCGCAAGATGACCCTGTTCCCGGCCTCAACTTGTCCGTTAGTTTTGGGATGCTCGACTGAGGTGAAATGTTTTTGGTGCCGAGTTTGGCAATGAAGCTTTGAAAGCTTTGGTCGGTGAATTGGGTACCGTTATCTATGATGAGTGCCTGTGGGATTTCGAACTGGGCGAGCACGTTTCGTTTGTAGAAGCGGAGGATGTTGTGCGAAGTGATTTTTGCGAGGGCTTCAGCCTCTATCCGCTTTGTAAATAATCTACGACCACGATGAGGAGTTTGTTTTGGTACGTCCCTTGCACGAATGGTCCGAGGATATCCATTCCCCACCAGGCAAATGGCCATGGGGATGATAATATGTTTAACTCGTGTGGTGGGGCGAGGTGCATGTCGGCTTCCCTTTGGCATTTGTCACATCTCTTGACGTGGTCTTTGGCGTCTTGCTGCATTGTCAGCCAGTAATATCCCGCTCGCAGCGCCTTCCTCGCTAGGGACTTGTTGCCCATGTGTTGGGCATTGATTCCTTCGTGTATTTCCCGTAATATCTCGGGGACTGCAGATTCTTCGATACACTTCAAGAGTGGGATGGAAAGTCCCCTACGATATAATTTATGCTCGAGTACCACGTAGGAGCATGCTCGTCGTTTGGTTGCGGCTGCTTCTCTTTGGTCCAGGGGGAGTTCCCCATTTGTTAGGAAGTTGAATACCAGGGTCATCCAACACGAGTTGTCTTCGATGGCGTTTACTTCGGGTAGAGTCATGGGTTTTTTGATGCTCGGGCGAGATAGCAACTCTTGTATGACAGATTTGTTTCTTCCTTTCTTTTTCGTGCTTGCGAGCTTCGAAAGTATATCGACTCTTGTGTTTTGCTCGCGTGGTACGTGTGAAATTTCTGCCCGGTCGAACCTTTTGATATGCTCTCTGACCAAGTTTAGATATTTGATGAGGCTGTTGTTTTTAGCCTGGTATTCCCTTTGGACTTGGGACGTGACGAGTTGAGAGTCGGTGAAGATTTGTATCTCACGGACGCCTAAATCCTCGACCAGTCTTAGACCTGCGAGCAGGGCCTCGTATTTCGCCTGGTTGTTTGAGGTGGGAAAGGAGAGGGTGAGCGAGGATTCCTGCTATCACGCCTTCCTCGTTCTCTAGGAGGATTCCTGCACCGCTCCTGGTCAAGCTGGAAGCTCCGTCGACGAAGATGATCCACTTTGCTCTTTCCTTGCGCGTGGGTGGGGGGTGGGTTATGAGCGGTCATCTCAGCGATGAAATCGGCCAGAGCTTGTGCCTTTAGGGCCTTCCTGCTCTCGTATTGGATGTCGAATTCAGAAAGTTCCAAGGACCACTTTAACATTCGATCCGCTATGTCCGGTTGACCTAGGAGCTGTTTCACGGGCTGGTCCGTTCGTACCATGATTGTGTCCGCGAGGAAATAGTGCCTGAGCCTTCTTGCTGCATTGACGAGGGCCAGAGCCACCTTTTCCATCTGTTGGTATCTAACCTCGGGCCCTTGAAGCGCCTTGCTAGTGAAATAAACGAATTTTTGTCCGTCGTGCGTCTCACGAATGAGGGCTGCGCTGATGGCTTTGACCGAGACGGCTAGGTATAGAAATAAGGTTTTCCTGTCAACTGGTCGTGATAACTCGGGCGGTTGCGAGAGACTTTGTTTAAGATGGAGCAGCGCCTCTACACAATGAATTGCATTTGGAACTCATTAGGGGATTGGTAGAACTAAAGTCTCTACATAATGAATTGCATTTGATTTATATCAAGTATATCATCCATTTAAGAATCCTCAATGTAACATATAATGATCAATGATGTTTAAGTGATCCGCGTTGACTAAAATTAATGAAGATCCATCAGAAGATTGGTAGAACCAAAGCAACTACACAATAAATTTCAAGGTTATTGGATCAAAGGGTTCAAATTAACATCTTGGGCTTGCAATCATAAGTTTGGACCACGAATAATCATTTTCTCGAATCAGGACACAATTTAGCGCTATGTTAAGCAATCGTAAGTGGACTTATAAAGAAGTCACACCTATTTTGAGGTCGATCAATAGAAATCTATGCATCATTTGTTTTGAGACCTGATATAAAGATCATGCTTCAATAACACTTAGTGCAATAAGAAAATGGATAAGATGAAGAGGGGTGAGAAAGAATATACAAACTATTTTTGAATTAAAATTTAATCAAACTATTATTAAAATCATTCATCCATTTTTATGGAGTTAGACTCAACACCATGGATCCAATGATGTTAATAAAGTCCATGATCAAAAATTCAACCCAAGATCAGCTAGAAAATAATACAAAATAATATTACGTTTAATATATGCATTAAAAAGGGTTTTAAAATGTTTTAAAATAGAAATAAGAGAGAAAAATATCAACTATGTTCAAATTAATCAAGAAAGATTAAGTAAGACCATAGGAAAATCAGAAATGAATTCAAATCTTTTTATAAAATTTTTGGTAATTTTTTTTAAAGTCAGAAACTATTTTAAAATTAAAAGAAATGAGTAAAATAAATCAAAAATGATAAAAAATAACAAAGTCAGAAATAAAAAATAAATGAGGTCACCAATATTTGTCAAAATATCATTGGATCATTCCATATTTTTGTTAGAATTTAAAAATGTATAAAAGTATTTTTAAACATTTAAAACAATTCAAATAAAGTGAAAATTTATAAAAAATATCAAAACACAAAATAAAATTGTAAAAAAATAAAAATCAGAAAGAGAAAAATCAAAAATATTTTTAAAAATTTTTTCAGATTTTTTGGACTTAAAATGAATTTTCTATGATTTTTTGAAGTTTAAAACAATTTAAATATAAAAATCAGAAAATAAAATAAAGTAAAAAAAAAAGTGGACCAATGGATGAAAGTCAAAACACGTTAGTAAGCTGATCCAATGGATCAGACGCGCTGTGCATATCATGTCATTAGTGAATAACACACATGATCATTAATTAAATCATATATTTAAAAATTCCAAATGGCGCTATTTCATTGGTTGAAGGATGACACGTTGGTCATCTTCAACCTCCGGCCAGTCTCAAATCGAGCTTGCTCAAACTGTAAAATTAGAGCACGAGACCGGTACCATTCGCTTCGTCTCATCAAGACGAAGACAACCACACTTTCGCGAAAAATTTATATAAATTGTAGCTCAAGCAATTTGGAAATAAAGTTTTAAAAAGGAATTTGAAAATTCATGGCCTAAACGTGTTTTCAGTTAAAAGAAAGTGTTGCGACTAGAACCAGGGCAATGAGAGCTTCACAATGATATCAAAGTTTGGAAGAATTAATGGAGAAATTTACCTATTGAAGTTCAGTTGCAGAGCTATGTAAATGGACTTGGTCAGATCAATTCAGAAGGTTTCAAGGCTCAATTCTTCTCCTGTTAGCTTCAGGGAAGATCAAGGAAGGTGAATTGATAGAAAAAATGGATTGAAAAAGGCTTGAACAATGATTTCGAAGTTGCAGAAAAGTGAGTTATGGAGCGAGTTTGGCAGGGTGATTTTGGCTGTTCAAGCTTGAGAAAACGAATGAGATAGCTCATGTATTTATAGGAGAAGCAAATGGGATCAAAAGGAAGGGTGAATGATGCAATTTGGAGGGAATTCGTGTGGGTCTGCATCATGAAGAAAGTGTGACTTCTCTTTTGTCAAAACTCATCCAAAACGCATGTTTTAATGCACTAATCCACTTGGGAAAGTTGGCTAATCATGTTTAGACACAAAATGCGTGCTAATTTGAGGGTTAGAAGTTGTAACATGAAATTCAAATTCTGACTTGCGATGAAACTTCAATTCCAAGTTACCACTTTTGAAACAATGGCATTCTCAGCTCAAGGGGTCTTAAGGCA